ATGCCATATATACACACATATATATACATACATATACACACGCACACAATTGATGGTTTACCTTTGCTTGACAATACTCAGTAGTGAAACTGCCACAGTTTTTCAGTTGCATTGTTGGCCAGATGACTTGGTTGCAGCAATGGAAGTGACCAGCTCTAGTAGTATCATGCTTCCCTTTGCTAAAATTATCCACAGCAGCAGACCTGCTTGAATATTTGTAGACTCAGAAAAGTCATGCTGCACTAGTTTACTTCCTTTCCTCATATGGAAGCTGTTTTTCACAACACAAAGGGGTAGTGATTTTTTTCCTTATAAAATAGTAGTGAGGGCTTAGACTTCACGCTTCCTGAAGAGGGCTGCCAAATTGCCATTAGATGGATTTTTCAAGACCTTACCAAGTCTTGTGAGTTGCCACCATTAGAGGTCTAAATAACTTCTTTAAAAAGCTATTAACCTGAAATTTGGAAGAATTTCAAGATGGTGCTTCTGAGTGCCTGCCAATTTTTGTAGTTTTAGTTGTTTTTCTCTTTCCTTTTGGGCTTTGTGAAAGAAGCATGTACAGGGAAGAACTACTATAGTAGTTGCAGATGAAAGTAAGATAAGGTGCAGTCAAATCTGTGTGGGAAACTTAAAAAAAAAATTCTTGAGGGTTTTTTTTGGGGGGGGGGATGTTATGGTAACTGGCTGCTTGTAACAGTAGCAGGTAGAAGACTTGCAGCAGAAAGTGAATTTTTTAATTCATTATAAGAACATTGTGCTCTGTAAGCTAAGACTTTCCCCAGAGGAAGTACTGCAACATACATTTGCTAAATATGTTCTCTTGATGTTGTCAATATACTCTCTGAAGACATTGTTATAACCTACAGGGACCAGCTGAGATCAGTATTCTTAGCACCCGTCAGTGCAGGAGCTTGGAGAATTGGGTCCTAAAAAGTGAAGGGAATAATGTTATGTTAATCCACTGGTTCCCAACTTTGGGTCACAACCCAAATGAGGGTCGCACAGGCAATGCCAGTGGTGCCACACACAAAAGGTGAGCCGTGCCGCATGCCGGGAGCTCCCCCACCCCCAGGCAGCCGCCACCGCCGCACTCTGCTCCCAGCAGTGGGGCGCAACAAAAAAACATTGAGAACCACTATATTAATCAATTTTCAAGGTTAGCACCCACATCTTTTCAATGTTAATACCGTAGGATCATTGACTTAATACTGAACTTGTCCAAATGAAATACAGGTTTCCTTTGCCAACCATGGGGGTTAGGCTCCTGAAATTTCCCGTGGTTGACAAAGCCAGCAGGCCTGGGGGCTGTGGGTGGGGGATGAGGGACACCAGCAAGGCTGTTGTGTTTGGGGGGGTGTGTTGAGTAGGGCTGAACTGGGAGTGAGCC